GAAAATCTTCCAGCGGGATTTTCTGAATCAAATGGTGAAAGTCATTTGGTTTGAGTAAAATAGTAGGAGCATATATAATTAAAGGCCTAATTGAATATGTTTTAACGATACTAATATCTTCATAATCTTTATGTAGATTACCATGACAACAAACACCTCTAACAACATATTACGGTCAATCCTTGATAAGGAAAAAATTGTCTGTGACAAATTTTTTGGATTGGCACAAAACCTGAGGATTATCCTCAAACATGACAAAAAGTTGTATGTTTTAGAGACACATGTTCCTGAAGAGGAACCTCCCAATTCAGCTTCTAAGGTTGAAAGAGATGCTTATATGAAGCATATCGATGATGACAATGAAACCGCTTGCCTCATGTTGGCTACCATAAACTCGAAATTGTAAAAGCAACATAAGAATATGGCAGCGTTCAATATGATCAGACATCTGAAGATGTTGCATCAAGAGAAGGAAAGGCGTGTAAGGTTTGAGGTTTAGAAAGCCCTTATTCATAGCAAGTTAGCTGAGGGAACCCCTGTAGGTCCCCATGTACTCAAGATGATTGGGTATGTAGAGAACCTTGAAATGTTAGGGTTTCCCCTTGGAAAGGAACTTGTGACTTATTTGATCTTACAATCGTTGCCTGAGAGCTTCAGTCAATTTATCTTGAATTTCAACATGAATAACATGGACAAAAGTCTTCCAGAACTACTAAGCATGTTAAGAACTACTGAGCAGAATCTGAAGTCAAAAGGGAAGTCGATTCTGATGGTCAGTAATGGAAAGAAGCTTAACAAAAGACCCACCAAGCATGTTGGTAAAGGCAAGCAAGTTGCCAAACCCAAACCTATTGCTCATGCTTTAAAGTTTTGCAGAGGCATATCAAATAAGGGCACTTGCTTCCACTATGGAACGACCTGACACTGGAAGAGAAACTGCCCAAATTACCTGGAAGATAAGAAGAATGGAGTAGAGACTTCAACTTCAGGTATTTTTGTTATGAAATTTAATTTATCTACTTTTGCATCATGGGTATTAGATACTGGATGTGGTTCTCACATTTATAATAATGTGCAGATGCTGAAAATGAGTAGAGAATTGGAAAAAGGTGAAGTTGATCTACAAGTTGGAAATGGAGCAAAGGTTGTTGCTTTAGCCATAGGAACTTATATAGTGACTTTACCTAGTGGTTTAATAATTCAGTTAGAGAATTGTTATTATATACCTGCAATTAGCAGGAATATTATTTCCATTTCTTGTTTGGACAAGTTTGGTTTTCATTCATAATAAAGAACAATTGTTGCTTCATTTATTTGAATGATATATTATATGCTACTGCACAAATGAACAATCATCTATATATCCTTGATCTTAAAATGTCTATTTATAACATTAATACTAAAAGGATGAAACCAAATGAGTTAAATCCAACTTACCTTTGGCATTGTCGATTAGGCCACATAAATGAGAAACAAATATCCAAACTCCATAAAGATGGACTTTTGGACTCTTTTGATTATGAATCATATGAGACATGCAAATCTTGTTTAATTGGAAAAATGACAAAGTCCCAATTCACAAGAAAAGGTTGAATGGCTAATGATCTTTTGACCCTCATACATTTTGATGTATGTGGACCACTAAATATACCAGCCAAAGGAGGTTTTCAATACTTCATCACATTTAATGATGATTTCAGTATATATGGTTATGTGTATTTAATGAAACACAAATCCGAGTCCTTTGAAAAGTTTAAAGAATTCAAAATGAAGTACAAAACCAACTAGACAAGAATATTAAGTCCTTTCGATCAGACTGAGGGTGAATATTTAAGCCTTGAGTTTAGTGACCATCTAAAAAGGTGTGAGATTATATCTCAACTTAATCTTCTTGGAATACCACAATGGAAGGTGTATCCGAGAGATGAAACCGAACCTTATTAGACATGTTTTGATTTATGATGGGTCACACCAATCTTCCAAACTCCTTTTGGGGACCTCTTTATTGACAACAACCTGCACACTTAACCATGTTCCATCCAAAACGGCTGAGAAGACACCATACAAGATATGGAGTGGTAAGAGACCACTTGTGTCTTTCATGAATATTTGAGGTTACGAATTTTATGTGAAACGATACATTTCAACAAAGCTTGAGCCCAAATCTGACAAATGCTTATTTATGGGGTATCCAAAAGAAATAAGAGGATATTACTTCTACAATCCTTCTAATGGCAAAATGTTTGTTGCTTGAACTGGAGTTTTCTTGGAAAGAGACTTTATTTCCAAAGGAATCAATGGGAGGAAAGTAGAGCTTGAAGAAATTCAAGAATCACAAAAGCAGTGATACACCCATGGAGGAACTAGAGCAGGAAACACAAGTAGTTGTGAAAGAGAAACCTGCTCAAGTAGAACAAGACTAACATAGATCAAAGATGACATGTTACCAACCTGAGAGATATGATTATCTCGTAATTGATCAAGGTGATATATTTCTCATGGATCAAAATGAGCCTCGCGTCTACAAGAAGGTCAGTGGGAGCATGATCGTCATCCTGATATTATATGTAATTGACATATTACTCAATTCTGATTATGTGTTTTGCTTAAATGGTGGCGCTGTGAGCTTAAAAAGTTCAAAGAAGGATACAATTGTTGATTCTATAACCGAAGTCGAGTGTATTGTTGCCTTAGATGTAACAAATGAAGATGTTTGGATCAAAAGTTTCATTATGAACTTCACATAGTCCATAACATTGTGGATCCCGTTGATCTCTATTGTGATGACAATGGTGCTATCGCACAAGCTAAGGAGCCTAGATCTCACCAATGAACCAAACACACACTTACGCGATATCACCTCATTCGAGAGATAATAGAAATTGTATATGTGAAGATATACAGAGTACCGACATTTGACAATGTCGTTGACCCACTAACAAAGCCTCTTACACAGTAGAAGCATAATGGCCATACTAGACATATGTGTATTAGATGTATACCTGATTGGCTCTAGTGTTAGTGGGAGATTGTTGGAGTAAGCCCTACAGGCCAATAATTCCGGTACTTGTATCAAATTATATATTAATAATTAAAAGAAATTATTTATTATGTTTGTTTTTCTAAAATAATAAAATTCCTAGAATAGCTAATCCGTTTAATGAAATGTTAAGTGTGACTTAATCATGAGATCTCATTAAACATAAGGAAACTATTCTTAAAGTATCCATAGTCGAGCTTTATTGTGAAGTGGGATAATATTAAAGCATTGAAACTATTATGTGGATAGACTGATGATCACATCTCATGGATCATGGATAAAGAGTTATCAAGTCTTCACATAGATATGAATATTAAAAGTACTATTTATATTGGATTGACCCGCTATAAGAACATTACATAAAAAATTATGCAAAGTGTCATAAATTATTCTCATAATGATAATGATATATACCACCCTTCGACCGGAGTGAACGCTAGAAGTAGAGTCGAGTATTTATTACTGATCAAACATTTAGATAAAATTTATTCATCCTGCATAATAGGATAAATATCTAAGCAAAGATAAATATTCAAAACTTTGCTTTAACACATCAAAATCAAAACATTAAGAATAAACAAGCAAACTCAATTTATTTTGTCACTTTTACACTACATTATGAAGTTTTTAAATATGTTTCTTTCATTTAGACTCGTTTTAAAAAAAATAGTATGAGACAAAACAATAAAAAAATAAAACACATATTTGAAACATTTATTTGAGCTAAATGAGCGGGTCCGCTTTAACACCCTTATTAATAAGTGATATCATTGAATGATTTAATAAAATAGGTATAAAAATGTGTTATACGCAATATTAATCCCATAACCTAATATCACTCTATAATGAGATTTTTCTTTTTCTTTTTGGTAAAATCTTTTATAGTGAGATGAATGAAGTAAAGTAAATTACAAAAAGCTTTAATGGTAAAAACCGTAAATGAACAAAAAAACAATCTAATTTGGGAAACACGTGATTGAGAATCTGAACTTATTAGTACAACATTTAAGATTGGTTCAAATTGGAGCCGAAAGGAGAATCTCAATTATTATGGAAAGAAAGATAAAAATGTGCATAAAACATTTTTTTATAAATAGAAAAATATAAACATAAAACAATAATTTCATAATAATTTTTGCATTCGACCATTTAATATAGATAAAAAACGATAAATACAGAAAGAAAATTGTAATTTATTAATCATTCTTTATTATTATTAATACATTAATGTATTATCATTTTAGTAGTAACTATAAAGTGGAGAAAAAATTATTTTTTTGTAAAAAGGAGTATTTATGTATTTTATATTATACATATATTATATCACTTTATCAGTTTCATCCATATTATAAATTAATAATTAACTTTCTATAAAAAGGAGTATTTATGCAATATTTTGAAAATATAAATAAATATATTAAAAAATTTAAAAATTATAAAAAAATATTATCTTTATTGAGATTATAAAATAACAAATAATTTAAAATAAGTATGAAATTTTTTTAACATAAATACTTTTTTTTACAAATTTTATAAAAATAATGTTATTTAGTATGAAATAATTTGAAGAAATACAAAAATACACACATATCACTATTTTAGAAGTGAATTTTAAATTTAAATTTTTTAAGTGATAGTAATAATAAATAGTTATGATTTATTCTTACCTTTGTTATTTTCACTTAAACATTTTCCATTTTATATATTACTTATGCAAATAATTGATTTACTTTCTCATTTTGGTGGATTATAAAATTGTGGTACATCAATTATTTTGGAACGGAGTTATACACAAAATAGATAGAAATTCAAAAGAATGATAGAGATGGGTTAGTCTATGTCATAATTATTCAATTATTTTGATAGTCTAGTATTTGTGTGAGCGTTTTATTTTCCACATTTTTATTTCATCACAATCTCTTCCAAATCGCGTGTTCCACGTTACGCCGCCGACCTAACCATGTCTGATTCTTCCACTACCGCCGTTACATCGCCGTTACCAACTCTTCGCCGCCATAACTCCATAACGGCCACAACACCCAACAAATTCCACCGTTCAGCAAACAAGCCACCCCTCCGGACAACAAGCTTAGATTTGGAGCTTCTCTTACTCAAATCTCCTTACACTTCATACACATCACTCAGAGACATGCTTCCTTCTCCTCACGCTGCCGTCAATTCTCCGACAACCTCATCCGCCACCATCAACTCCGGCTACGAGATACCAATCCGCAACCATCTCGTTAAACAAGCTGCCTGGGCTTATCTTCGGCCCATGTCATCTTTTCCAACAAACTCCTCCACACCTAATTTCCTCAGCCGCCTCTCCTCCGTCAATTCAATAACATCTTGTTTTAGTTCAATGATTTCGGGTTTTACCAGAATTTTTCATCAAATACTCCAAGCTTTCAATGGCCAAGTAAGAGCATAATGGATTTTTTTATTTTATTTTGTTTAGAGTTTGTAAGTATAGTTTTATTTTTTTTTTCATATGTATTTCAATTGTTATTATGGCATCAAAATAGAGTTGGAAATGAATAAAAGAACAATGATTTGATGACAAAAGACAAAACTGTCTTCAGCAGCACAACGTTATATTATGTTACAATTTATTTACATGTAGAAAGCATCAACAATGGTAAAATAGTCAACAGTGGTGTTTTTTTTTGCTGGGCTTAATGTGAGTATATGTACAAAAATGTTACAATTTCAACCTGAAGTGTGCTTAATGGGCTTCATAGTTGGGCTTGATCATTGTATTTGATTGGGGTTAGTTTGGACTTTGGAAGTTCTTACCTGTTCTTGCGGCCAAAGAAATCATTTTGTTGGAATTCAAACAAAGCTGATCTTATTTCAGGCAATGGTGGGGCACTAGGAATAGGAGGAACCTGTCCATCTTTTTTCTGCAAAAAATAATGTTATCCTTAGTAACAGTACTAGCAACAACGATTCAAATATTACAAATATGACAAGTAGTGATTTTAAATTTATGGTCAAATATATGCAATGTAAGCATATACTATGATTGTGATGATAACTCAAAAAATTTAGATTATGTGTGGCGGCTGCAGTTACGTTGATGTCGCGTGAACACTTACGAAATTTCGATTAGTACAAATGTTGTACATGTGTGAATTAATCACAATTTATTATTTTAATGTAAAAAAAGTGAATAACGGTATTGGTATCGGTATCTTCTGATAGAGTTTTGACGCGTCCGTTTTTGCGGTAAAGGACCGTTTTTTTAAACCTGCTGGTTTATTATATTTTTAATTTGCAACTTGTAACATTAATGATTCAGAAGTTGTTCTAAGTAACTCACCTTCTTGGAGGTTTTGCTTGAGAGTTTCTTGGACTGAGCAGCCAAGTGATCAAAAACTTGAAAAAATGCAGTTTGTCCTAACTCAGTGCAATTTTGCCAGTAAAAAATTGCCAAATCCCATGCCCTAACTCTCCACTCTTGAAACAACTTGTCAAAATCAATTTCATTCTTAGATACATATGGTCTCAACACTTTATTATAAACATATCCTGTCCCCTGCATCAACCAACATTCATGTTTAATCTTTAGTTTCAAACATGACTTTCACTTTCATTGGTAAATGAAACAACAGAATAAAGTGTTTGAGAAAAAAAAAGTACTACTAGTATATGTTAAAGTTGCCATATAGACATTCTCTCAAACATGTTATGTTCTTACCTTAGTTTTGGGATACCACATGTATATAAAAAGGGCAAGCTTCAATTCTCCATACAAAGGCAACCTTCATAAACATTAGGTGTTAATTTCTTGCACAAATCTATATCAATAAAAAGTTCAACAATAATACAAATGAAATGACTTCAAATTCAAGCACTCACCATCCAATAACCACATCAGCAAACTTTTCCAGTACAGTGAAAAAAGCAACAATGATCCTGCAAATTAAGAATTGCACATTACATAACAATATAATTATGTATGTAAAATTAAAGTACTCAAAATGAATACAACTAAACATGCTGATAAAGTTCCAAGCACATGATTAGGTTCAATGTTTGAACCACTTTTTAACCCATTGACCTCAAATTTATCCATTATAAAAAGCAGATCCGTTTCTTGACACAAACTCAACAACTAGTTTTTTAGATTCTTAATCATTAGTAAAGCTCTTTAAACAATTCTTCTCATCATTCCATGATCCACAATTTAAGTGCAAATTTTAGAAACACTAATCATAGAACAAAAAAAAAAAAAAACTTGAATTATTATAAATTTATAATCTATATTCTATACCAGTATTGACACCAGAATCGAAGTTCATCCATTTCAACCTTGTTTCTTTCTACTGTTTTATAGCATTCAAATCCTGGATATGCATATCCAAGAAGCAATCTGAAACTCAAAATCAAAATCATATACAAATAATAATCAGAAATATATATATATAATCAAGATTATACAGAAATATCAGACAAACAAACCTTTATCTCTTGAACAAAATAGAAATCAAAAGAAGGAAAAAAAAGTGAATACATTCCACTTACATAAGACATCGAGTAATGAAATCTCCTAACATTTCCAAACCCTATGCAGAGAAACAACAACAATTCATCAAAATTCTGACACAACAAAATTACAAAAGACATGGAACATAATTTGTTCAACATTTACCTGTTGTTTGACAGTGTCAAAAACTCAAACCGCTTTGTCTACTGAGAACCAAAACTGACAAGTTCAAATTGGACTTTGAAACTTTAGATTTAGAAAAAGGGTTTATAATTGTTTAGAAGAGATGAAGAAGATAAGTTAGATCACAAAAATAACTAACATCTATATATATATATAGAAATTTTGGTTTACTTTTTCTTGGATTGGAGTTGAAAGGAAAGAGAAAAGTTACGCGGGATTGAAATGAATTTCTTGCCACGTACGCTATGGTTTTTCTTCAATCTTAGACGCTACTCTTGCTTGTTTGGGGTTTGGGGATTTATATATTCTTTTTGTTTTCATGGCATGGATTCACCGTTTGGAAGTTAATGCACGCACCGATGAAAGGCTGTTTTGGTAATTTTGAAGGGATTATTGTACAATTGTTGCTTTTGTGTTTAATGAATTATGGTGCTGTTTTATTGTTTTGATTATTCTTTTTTTTTTTTACTAGAAGTTTGAGACATCAATGTTTTAAAACAATTTGAATAGTTAATGTGGTTTATGGATTTGATTAATTACATCAGGTGAGGTGTTGAAAAATATAACTTATGTTACAATTTATATTTAATGAATTTATAATTAAGTATAATTGTAAATATAGTTTTAACTAGTTGAGATAATGGTTAAAGAAGTTGGACTTGAATACAATCTTGAATTGAATAAGTAAGAGTGTCAAATTTTTTAAAGAAAATTTTATTGTTCGTTGTGGTTCTTTCTATTACGAAAGATTAGTCTATATAATTACATGCAGAAAATAATCAATTTATATTAAAAAAGTTAAAAAAGTTGAGAGGTCTAAAGTTTAATTCCAAATGTAAATATAATAATAATAAGTAGTGAAACATAAGGATTAGGGATTAATGAATTTGAATGAATTGGATAATTTGGCACAAGCTACTTTAAGGCTATGATATAGAGAATAGAAAAAAAATATTTGTTAATGATTTAGAAACAAAATGACTACGGGTTTTTTCGAAAAAAAAATATTTTCTCCGGTCTTTTTTATAAGAAATATTTCATCTTTTTTTAGATTCATTGAATAATTAATGTATCTGATATATAAATAAATCAAGTACATTAATTATTCAATAAATCTAAAAAAGTGAAATGTATTTTATAAAAAGGACTAGAGGGAGTATTTGTTAATGATTTAGAAACAATATGACTAACAATTTGAAAAATACTTGTCAAAGCGCATGACTACTAACATGGTCTTTATTAAAAAATATGATATAATTTAATATTTAAAAATCATGTATATAATGTTTGATTGGTGTGAGTGAAGAACACGAGCACAATGAGAGAAGGGTGAGTAACTAACTGTGTGAGAAACAGAGTATTTGAGGAAAGAGAAGAAGGAGATATGAGTATGTAATTTGTGTGATCTCATTATTCTCTTCTATTCTATTTTTGTATTGTTCATTTATGCAGATTGTGCCTCTCAATAACTTGTAATCGTACTGAAATTCCTTCCATTGCAATAAGTATTATCTTTATTCAATTAATATCGACTAAGGTTTCATTACTGCTCCATTATTGTGAGTAACATTATATCGGTGCTTTTATCGACTCCATGGTCAACAATACGAGAATGAATGAGCTAGCTGCTCAGTTACGATGCCAAGCTAAAGTTTTAGAAAAGTCAGATGCAGCACACACACTCGATTTAAAAGATTGGAAGAAATGCGAAAGACTTCAAAGGCCCGCTTCGCCGAGATGTCTTCCAACTTTGACAAGATGATGCAGATGATGCAATAACTCTCAGTCACCCATGGAGCAACGAACTCAGGATTGGTAACCAACACCGACGCTATCAGAGGGAGTGGCACCTTAGTTGGATCTAACATTTCTACACCACCTCCGTTTTAAGTAAGACACATCAGACTTGAATTTCCGTGATTCAACGGTAAGAATATTCTTGACTGGATATTTAAAGCCGAATAGTTTTTTTGGGTATTACAATACCCCATATCCAGAGCGATTAATCATTGCTTCCATCCATTTGGAGCAAGAAGTGGTACCATGGTTTCAAATGGTTACTCGCACATGTCTGTTTCAGTTATGGATGGATTTTACGCGAGCTCTTGAATTAGATTCTAGTCCTTGTCTGTATGATTGTCCTCGTGTGTCCTTATTTAAATTGAATAAGAAGAAAGCTGTGAATGAGTATTTTCTGGAATTTACTGCTCTGTCTAACATAGCTTATAGTTTAAGTAATGATGCTTTAGTTGATTGTTTTGTTAGTGGCTTAAAGGATGAAATATGCAGAGATGTTATGCTTCATACACCCACCTCAATTGTCAAGACTGTTTCATTGGAAAAAGTATTTGAAGAGAAAATTGAAGCTAATGCCAAAATAAACATGTACCATAAACCGTACAATAATAAAGCTCACTTTAATCCAATAAAATATGACCAACACAAGCCCCTGAAAAGACCCCCCAACCCACCTTTGTTACCCACTCCTCTGACAAGACCTAAGCCAACTCTAAAAAAACCTGCTATCAAGCAAATTTCTCCAGCTGAGATGCAATTGCGTAAGGAGAAAGGACTGCGCTATTTTTGTGATGAGAAATTATCATTTTCTCATAAATGTCCTAACAAAAAGTGTTATTCTTGGAATTAGAAGAGGAGACTGATAGTCAAGTCGACACAGGCCAAACTACAACACAATCACTGGGTGACATAGATCTGGACATGGACCATCATTTGTATTTGAATGCCTTGAATGGAGCAAC